TTGTCATGAGCATCGATCCACGCAATTGGGATACGATGACATGTATCAACCAAGTCAGCGAACGTGACCACCCGATCCCGTTATTCTCCCCTTACAACAAGCAAAGTCGTCTGTTAAGGAAAGCATGGGTTGCTGAAGACCTATTCTACCCCGCATCTTCACGGGTCTCCGACAAGCATGGGTTGCTGAAGACCTATTCTACCCCGCATCTTCACGGGTCCTTCGATCTGGTGATGAGGTGAAGGAGAAATGGAGCAACATGACAAGAAAGGCTAAGAAAACCTTCACGGAGTACAGGCTGCAACAGAGGAAGACCGGAGGAGGAAACCCACCATCCAAACTCGAGTCCGGCTACTTTTCGAATTTTTTGAGATAATGCAAGATTCAGCGAGTTTCAGTGGCATATCAGGGGGCTTAGAATCGTAAATTCTTCCAAGTAAGTGCTTTCATAGTAAAATATTTTACTTAGCCTAATTCGAAAAGTCGTATGTTCATGTTGACACGGAATACCCATTTTTATATTTAGACACGACCTTGAACATTCGAAAGAATGTGTTTGTCTTTCATCTTTATAATATTTAAACAATACAGACAACATGAACGTATGAACTTACTATTCACGAGTATTATTATCATATCTACGCAGCCCACGATGCTGTATACCGTAGAAAAATCACGAATATAGAATGAACACAAATTCGTGAACCGCCATCAGGCGACGGAATCTGACGCAATTTCTCTACTGTAGTGTCAAAATCGATCCCAAAGACTGTTGATTTAGCAAGAGACGATATCTGCTCCAACACTGGATACGTAAAGTAATTCTATTCCAAAGACTCATGACAAACCTGACTTGTTCACGTTTATACACTCTTCAAAAAAAAAGAAACGCATAGGTGTTTTGAGAATTCCAATTAGATTTTTTTCCCAGCAATCGTCAAAAAGACAATACTTACGTTTGATTCCCGTTAATATTAGTCATGTCATGTTTGTTGTGCATTGCGCGCAAAGACGTCTCATAATGTTATTTGAAAACACGTTTATCAGCAAAAATGCAAAGGATGCACGTAAATTGCTTTCAGAAAACGTTTTCAGCATAATGCACGTGCAAAGTGTTGGAAACAAGAGTAGAGACACTGACTATGAAAGACCGTACAAACTTCACCAGTTCATTACGAATTTTCTGACGTGAACGGAGATCGAAAAATGCCAAGATTAACTGCAGCTGACAAAATCGCCAGTGGACGTTTGGAAGCAGGGGAGTCCCAGTCTGCCGTTGCAAGACACTTCAACGTTCACCAAAGCACCATATCTCGACTATGGGATCGATATACGCGAACTAATTCGACTCAAGATCATCCTAGAAGTGGAAGACCAAGAGTGACCACCCCTGCTCAGGATCGGTTCATCCGGTTGCAGCACCTTCGGAATCGATTTGCTACAGCAAACCTATACATAGACCAAATTCTGCGTCCTCACCTCCTCCCAACTTTGGACCACCAGAGGGAGCTGTTCCAACATGACAACGCTCGGCCCCACACAGCACGTGCAACAGTTAATTTCCTTGTTAATGAGAACATCAATGTCCTTCCATGGCCGTCCAAATCGCCTGATCTTAACCCGATTGAACATTTGTGGGACGAACTTGATCGACGCGTCCATCAACGTCACCAGCGTCCCCACACACTGGCACAACTCGCCAACGCTTTATAGAAGGAATGGCGAAGAATTCCCCACGAAAAATCCGACGACTTGTGCAATCTGTGCCAAGGAGGTGTCGAGCAGTGACAGCAAGAGGTGGTGTGACCAGGTACTGACCATGACGCCCCCTTGTGGCTACACATGTGCAATGACTGAACTGAATTTATGCTGGCAATGACGACAATGCTTTTGTCGATCACTGTGTCTAATTTCATTTGCATATTTCATGCATATTCTGTGTAGATACTTTAACATCCGAGAAATAAATAGTATTGATTAGTGTTCGTTATGTTATCCTAAATACCATTATTTGTTTCTATGTGACTATTTTAACATTAGGAACATTTATGTATGTAAAATCATCTCCTTATCACAATCCCAACAAAAAGGGGTCCTAATGAAATTTGCTTATGTCCGTAGAATATTTGCAACTCATGTCAAACAGTCGCAATAAAAAAAAATATTATTCTCTGTTGACCTCTTCTTACTGTGTAGATAGTCTTAAGTGGAATAGGGGGCACGGGTGCCCCAGTCGTCTAAGGCGCCGCGATTCGCTGTGCAGAGTTGCGTCCCTTAGGCACGCCAGAAACCTATGATTGTGGGTTCGAATCCCGGTTCGCCCCGATTAGGTTTGTAGGTTTGTCAGCACCATACCCGTGCTCGTGGGTTTCACCGTAGTGGTAAACGTCTGAGACCTGCATCACTTCGGGCTTTTCCCCTACATTAAGCTGACACGCCGTGATATGCCTGGAATACTGTAAAAAGCGGCGTTAAACCCAACTCCCTCACTCACTCTTAAGTGGAATAACGCTCTGTTTTGATCCGTTCTGTTTTGACATTAATAATAATTATCATTTACGAAAGTGGTTATAGAAATCCTGAATAATTGCAACCGACTACACTGCCAGTGGCATTTTAATGACTATAACTCTATTTAAGCGCTTTGTTTAACATTACTCTCATCACCATTCCCGCTGTACGACTGTGACCTGTAAAGGATCGATTCTGGACCTGACAAACCAGTGGTTGACATTATGAGTAAAGATTCATGCCGTGGAGGTATGATGACACGCAATCAACCAAGTCACCGAGCCTGACTATCGATCCATTAAGCTTCCGACATCATATGCAAGAAACGACCTGCTTCAAAGCCAATATGTGAATGACAACGAAAATAAATTGGAAATTTCCTTTAGACTTTCCCTCCGCAGCTGTTCGAGACAAGCCTCTCGCATTAAGCAGTCCCGCGTGTTTTTAAGCAAGCACGCACATAAAGTAGGAACTGTTTAAAATCCTTCCCTAGCGTTAACTGGAAAAGGGATTAGAGGAATATGTGACACACCTACATTCTGTTCTTTACATACTCTTAGACTTTGTACACAGATGCGACATGTGTTGCCAGTATTATTAGCGAAATCGTGATTCATTGTTTACTTGGCATGTTTGCGTTTTTGTCACAAGAGGCATTTTTCTTGTAACAATATCGTCTTGCTATGGAACTATGCATTTCACAGATGGCTGGTCCTCGTGAGCGACAATAATGTCCGGTAATGTTTAAACAAACCAGTGTCTCATCACGAAAACGAGGGCATTTGTTTTTGTGTTGTTTAACGCCACACTCAGCTATTCCAGCTATATGACGGCGTTGTGTAAATGATCGAGCCTGGACCAGACAATCCAGTGATTGATAACATGAGCATCGATCCACGCAATTGGGATCGATGACATGCATCAACCAAGTCAGCGAGCCTGACCACCCGATCCCGTTTGTCGCCTTTTACGACAAGCATAGTCGCCTTTTACGGCAAGCATGGGTTGCTGAAGACCTCGATTATTTACAGACCGCCGTGATATAGCTGGAATATTGCCGAGTGCGGCGTTAAACAAACTAATCTGTCCAAATTCAGCTTTATACACACCCCGTCATATATAACTGGAATATTGAGGTGAGGTGAGGTGAGGTGAGGTGAGGTGAGGTGAGGTGAGGTGAGGTGGGGTGGGCTGAGGTGGGCTGAGGGGGGGGGGGGGGGGGGGGGTGAGGTGAGGTGAAATTGGGTTTAAAGTCGCGTCCAAGATTATTATCCCCCGCCCCAACGAAGATAGCGTGGGATATAGAAATGGGTTCCGTCCGTCCGTTCAGAACTGGTGCCTTTTGCTATTAAAGTATTTTAGAATTTTTTATATTTGTTATCTTTCAATGGCAACAAGTTGGACTTCTATAAGGATGATGTTCGTTTCCGGAGCGTAACTAAAAAAACGTTAAATACTTTCTTACAAAACTTTGCATGTCTACCAGGCACATACTGAACTGGTGCCTTTTGATATTAAGGAGTTTTAGAAATGTTTATTTTAGAATTTCCATTGCAGCTATTTCGACATTGGCTAAGAGAAATGCTGGGTCAGTTACCTGGTTTGGGACCGTAATGTTTTAAAATGGGCGAGGGACTTAGATGACTTCGTCGACTATACGCTTGTTGCACTTATATAGCGACGGACATGCACGTGTGTGTGTGTGTGTGTTTGTGTGTGTGTGTGTGTGTGTGTGTTGTTTGGCTGCTTGTACTAGTCCGGACTGATGCCGTTATAGTGTTAGCTCACTGAGATACCATGCCGCAGTTTAACATGAATACCCATTCAGACACGAGCCGACAAGTCCTTGTTTTAGCCCCTTTATGCCGAGCGCCAGATAGGGTACCAAGAAGTACCATCCGTTAACGTCTATTGGTATGATGCGGCCGAAGATCGAACTCTGGACCTTCCGCTCTCCGGGCGGACGCTCTACCACTAGACCACGGAGGCGGTCGAATTTGGCGTTTAACAACAACAGCAGCAAGTCACCCACCGATTTTTGGCTGCGCCCTCCTTTTACGTTTCATTTCCGTTTCATTTCCACTGTGACAGCAAGCACGAAACACAAACATAAACGAGGCTATAATTCACTTGTATGCACAAGTAGATGCTAAGCTACGTTTCTTTTCACCCTTCACAATCCATCAAAACGACAAAACCCCAACTGTACAACATCACTTCATGGCCAAGGTGCTCCTGTTTAAAAGCAGATGTTAACATTTTAGAAATGAAAACATATTTTTTAAACCGTTAATTAGAAGAAATGGTTTTTAAAAATATTTTCCTGTGCTTTTGTCAGAGTGATATTCCATGTTCTTGTGGCAAACTGAACGTATTTGTACAGGCTTTTTGGGACATTGCCAAACTGCATGGCTTCCGAATGCATCAACTTCTCAACCACAATGTCACTCTGGTGGCGTTTTCAAGAATAAAAACTACTTGACGCGTAATAAGTTGCAATTTTATTTGAAACGCATCAGCGGAAATAGCGCCAGAGTAGTTTCGTAGTTGCGTCTAGAAACCTGGAACCGACAAGTTTAAGAGTCTTGTTTGAATAAGGTGCCGACGATATACTTATCTGGGGATTCCGTGTTGGAGTGAGTGAGTGAATTGTGTTTAACGCCGCTTTTAACAGTATTCCAGTTAAATCGCGGCGTGTCAGCTTCGTGTGGGAGGGGGGCGGTTGGGTAGCCTTGCGGTTAAAGCGTTCGCTCGTCACGCCGAAGACCCAGGTTCGAATCCCGACATGGGTACAATGCGTGAAGCTCATTTCTGGTGTCCCCCGCCATGATATTGCTGAAATATTGCTAAAAGCCGCGTAAAACCAAACTCACTCACACTCACTCACTCGTGTGGGAGGAAAGCCCGAAGTGATGCAGGTCTAAGACGTTTACCACTTCGGTGAAACCCACGAGCACGGGCATGGTGCTGACAAACCTAGAAACATAATTCTGTGTTGGAATATTGTGTGTTTTATGTCTACCACGGCACTCAGCAATATTCCAGCTATATGACGGCAGTGTATATAATTAATCGAGTCTGGACCAGACAATCCAGTGATTGATATCATGAGCATCGATCTACGCATTTGGGATAAGATGACATGCATCAACAAGTCAGCGAGCCTGACCACCCGATACCCGTCTGTCGCCTGTTAAGGTGCGTGATATGGTGCTGAATTCCTAATAAAGTCCCGTTGGGAATCCGAGTTAGAATTGGTTCCCTGCAACCTATGTCGGTCGGAAGTAGCAACTCCATGGATGGTGTTCAGGCTCGGTGACTTGGTTGATTGCGTGTCATCGTACCCAGACGGCGTAGATCGTGGCTCATAATATCAATCTCTGTTTTTTCAGACTGCAAACATAACTGGAATATTGTTGAGTGTGGCGTTAAACAAACAAACAAAAAACGGCGTGGATGTTTTATGTTGGAGGAAGAACCACATTTTCTCTAAAAGGAACCGGACAATAAGTTATCTTAGGAGCCACAAGATATGTTTAGTCGGGACATCCGATGACCAATATTTTATTTTTCCTTTTAGGGGGATGGCGGGGAGCAGGGTCGCTGATTTGGTTTGATGCACGTCATCACGTTTCCCAAATGCGTTGATCGATGGTCACTGGATTGTCTACAATTTATAGATCGCCGTCATATAGTATGCATATTGCCGAAACAAAAAACAATACTTTTGACCCTCTATATGATACTTAGGAATATGCTTACTCCGGGGACACCCTGGTGTGTCGCACGTTCTCGTTATCCCTTGTCGTCTGGGACCCCTGCATCTCCTCACAAGACACCTGCGTCGACGCAGAAATCTCTGTCTGCATCTTCTGCATCGCCCGACCTTTGTCCAGCTGCCCCATTGCGACCATCCAGCTGCAATGAACGTGGTTTGTGAGACTGAATGTACGTTGTATTTTCAGTTAGAAAACAAGAGTCATCAAAAGATGACCTTCCGATCCCGTTAGTCGCCTCTTACGACAAGCATAGTCGCCTGCTACGGCATATTCGAAAGCACAAATCATCTGACTGTGACATTAAGTCCAACTTGATGAGAGTATTTCTCTCTAATCCGTCTGTCCGTATACAAGAGTAGTTATTGTGCTCTCAAAACAATACCATTGAATAGGGATTCGGAACATTGTATTTCTATGTCAGGTACACACCAATATGAACAGTCAAAATCAAAGTTGTTGCATGGAAACAGATTTTTTTCTAAACACCCCTAAGTAGCAAAAGGGAAACTGGTCTTTGTGTGTGCAAAGTGTCATGAAAGAATACCAATCAGTTTTAGAGACATGGTCTGGGCAAACACACAACTATGAACCAAGTCAAACTTGTTGGCATGGAAACAAGAATTATATTTTTTTCTTCTTAAATTCCTAAATAACAAAACACCACTTCAGCCCTTGGTTAATACATGTACCAGGTTAGGATGAACAAAGTTTTTCACAGTTCTCAAGTTGTGCTCCGGAAACGACACCTACCCCTATTTTTTTAGACGAAGTCCAAATTGTTTCCATGGAAATCAAGAAAAAAAAAAAATGCCAAAAATCCGCAAATAACAAAAGGCACCACACCAGGATATGTTTGATATATCTGCCAAGTTTTGTTGAACAATAAAATATAGAACGTTTTTCAAGTTACGCTCCAGAAACCAAAAATAAGTTGCGCAAAATTATCCGCGAAACTAGCAATCGTGTCCTTGTCCAACTTCTTTCCATAAAGATTTTTAAAAATAAAAAAATTGAAAATCACAAAATAGCAAAAGGCACCACTTCAGCATGTGACTGATACATCTTTCAAGTTTCGATCAAATATACTGAATGGTTTTCGAATTTTGCCCCGGAAACGAACCCCATCCCAAATGGATTCTATGGCCAACTTCTTTCCATAAAAAAATAAAAATTCGAAAAATCCCAAAATATAAAAAGGCACCACTTCAGTATGTGAGTGATTGATTCGACAAGTTTCGATCAAATACGCTGAATGGTTTTCGAGTTCTGCCCCGGAAAAGGAAGTGATTACGGACAGACAGACGGACGGACACACTGGGTGATCGCTATATCCCCCCGCATTATGTGCCGGGGGGATAAAAACCTTCTCCGTGGTCTAGTGGTAGAGCGTCCGACCTTCCAGGTTATGGGTTCGATCCCGCCTGGTCGTACCGAAAGACGTTCAAAAAACGTACTTATTGTTACCCTGCCTGCCTATGTGAATAAATAAATGCTTGTTTTTAAATTTGGTGTGATGCTATTATCAACTGACATTACTGAAGTCTCTGTCTGGGGGATTAAAGCATCGTAAAATTATTGTCCCCCTGTGTGACACGTACATGTAATCCTATCATAATCGATGTAAATATCATCATCCAGTGTTTTTAAGCCAACTCATTGCTGAGTATTTTTTAATATTAGTGAGTGAGTGAGTGAGTTGGGTTTAACGCCGCTTTTAACAGTATTCCAGGCATATCGCGGCGTGTCAACTTAATGTGTGAGGAAAGCCAGAAGTGATGCAGGTCTCAGACGTTTACCACTTCGGTGAAACCCACGAGCACTGTTTTAATATAAGCTAGTATTGAGCATAACCACCAGAAGCTAAAGTGATGACGTAAATCCTGCTGGGGTATCATGCAGGAAGCAGAGGTACCGTAAATCCCCATGATCGCCAGCGAGGTGACCTAGCTTTGGTCACTGGTGGCCTGTAGCCTGTGTTTTAAAACTGTTTACATGATATTGTTATGCTTAAATACGTTTCATAATTATTTTCTAAATATAGTATGTTCAAATATGTTTCACAGCTTGTTTTTAAATAAAACTTAAATAACTAAATTGTAAATATATTAACGCTCGTCTCGTATCGTCGCTATATGGCTAAAATAATGCCGATACGACGTTAAATTTTAACTCACTCACTCACTCTGGCGATGGGCTGGTAACGATTGCAATCCATTTTCTATCCTAGCTTTTTTAAACAATATTGTTGATTTCACATGATTATGAAAAGGGTGTTTGCGTTTATACAAAAACAATATGTTAATTTACACTTTTTACACTTAATTGATGGCTAAATTCCGTATCATTGCCAGCAGCTGAAGCGATTGAGTTGGTTGGTTGGTTTGTTGTTTAACGCCGCACTCAGCAATATTCCAGCTATATGACGGCGGTCTGTAAATAATTGAGTCTGAACCATACAATCCAATGATTACTATCATGAGCATCATTCCACGCAATTGGGATCGATGACATGTATCATGTATGACAAGTCTGCAAAAGACGATGTCGCATTAGCCAGTAGAAAGATCATTGAAAAGTTCTAAAATTTCTAGGATTATAGGTGATTTTAGGAGACACATTTAAGTGCCTGAACCATGACAATGAATCGGAGAAGATGATGAAATTCTTAGATTGGTTTTGACGTTTGATATAGGTCAAAGCTGTAAAGATAGCTTTGGCCTCAGCAGTAAAAATTGATCTAGAATCTGGTATTCTTGAGGACACAGTTCTAGATCCAATGATGGTGGCACTTGCAACTTTGCCACAATCCTTGGACCCGTCTGTAAAAGTGGGCCTGTGGGAATTATATTGAGTTCGCAATTGGTCGTACGCTTGTTGATAAACCAAAGGATTTGTTTCGGAGTTTTTGAGTTGGGTTGGAGTGAGGTCTACATGTACCTCTGACTTCACCATCTGCCAGGAAGAGGACGGCAGAAGACGGTAAGGTGATATTATATTTAGATCAATTTTAGCTGCGGTGATGTGTTGTTGAATTCTGATTCCAAGTAGTGGAACCAGGTTTGATAGATTTCGAAACAGGTTTTCATACTGAGGGCGGAAAACACAATTGTATGCTGGATTCGATTTAATTGAGTGCAATTTTGTGATGTATTGCAGTGAAAGTTTAATGCGGCGCAGTTCGAGTGAAGGTTCATCGGCCTGCACATACAAAACTTAGGCCCTGATGGTGTATTGTGTCTTATTTTTCTAAATTGCTTTTGCAGGCTCCACCATAGACAATGGAACAACATTCTAGTTTTGAGTGTACCTTGACCATAACATGCAAACGGCTATTAACCCACCCTATAATACACAGATACATTGTATACATTTGTTTGTTATGAAGAGAATAATACATTTATGCCAATAGGATTCGCCCTGGGGGTAAAAAACTGATAGATATATAAACTAATACGGTAAACTACGTTTAACGAACACGCGAACAACGAACGGACAGATACAACGAACGTATTTTTGGCCCCGGCCATTTGCTATACATGTGCTGTATATATGTTTATAACGAACTGCGGTTATAACGAAATGAGTGAGTGAGTGAGTATGGTTTTACGCCGCTTTTAGCAATATTCCAGCAATATCACGGCGGGGGACACCAGAGATGGGCTTCACTCATTGTACCCACGTCGGGAATCGAACCCGGGTCTTCGGCGTGACGAGCTAACGCTTTAACCACTAGGCTACCCGACCGCCCCTATAACGAAATGAAATAAGTGATCCCTTTGAGTTCGTTTTAACCTCAGTTTACGGTAATTTGTCAATTTGACATCTGACATCTAGATATGAAATCAAGAGTGTATGATTCTGTGTCCTAAGGTCAACTTAACCTTTCCCATCATACATACTGGATATATAACGTTATTAATGGGAAGATTAAAGACCCGTTAGCCGCCTCTTTCGACGGTGCAGTCAACAGTGACTGAAAATGGCTCAATACACGTGTGTGTGTGTGTGTGTGTGTGTGTGTGTGTGTGTGTGTGTGTGTGTGTGTGCGTGCGTGCTCTCCCTTTGTTGTCATTTGTCAACAATTCCTTTTCAAATAGTTCCTGTACAGAAATAACGCAACACCGCAATTGTCATTGACGGCTTGAACAGCAGATCTTTTCAACAGCGTGCAATGTTCTTCATTGCCAAAACTCATAACAATCACACAAGCGTTTGTTTCTTTTGAAGTATGTCCCTGACGCCATTATTATCATAAAACACTTCTTCCAATTGCGAAGTGACATTTAGTATAATCATGTAGCGTTTCAGCCCCCAAAATGTGATATTTTTGTTTCAGGTAATTTTCAAGTATATAATAAGAGATAAAACCCTTTCCATAAAACATATCATATTCGAAATGAAAACCACGTTAAATTCATCACACGTGCCTAATCTTGATAAAAGATCTCAATAGGAAAAAGCATCATATAAATAGTGCGAATAAAAACAGCATTTGTACAGTGAAGGTCCACACCTCGGAACCCTGTTGGACCGGAAACCATGCATCCGGATAATCGCTGTTGAAACCGTTTAAATTCAATTCGTGTGAAAGGTGCGTTATAACAAAGTAAGGATTTGTTAATCATAAATATTGTTAATCGGGACAAGTTAACTGGGAATGATGCCGTCCGAACTGAAGGGGTTTCGCTGTAATTTGCATTGGCTCCTTGGTCAATGGTATATCAAGAGAGCCGTGAAGATCCGGGGTAGAATAGGTCTTCAGCAACTCATGCTTGCCCTAAAAGGCGACTATGCTTGTCGTAAAAGGCGACTAACGGGATCGGGTTGTCAGGCTCGCTGACTTGGTTGATTCATGTCGATGCTCATGATATCCGCCGTCATATAGCTTGAATATTGCTGAGTGCGGCGTTAAACAACAAGCCATCCAAACCAAGTATATCAAGATACTAACTTGGGCATCCAGGAAGGTTACAATCCACAATTCGGCTGTCGGTGAGTGCCTCTTTACATCGACTGACTCGTACTGCAATGCAAGTCCTATTCCTCGTTTCTGTCTTGTTCGCTGGACCACACGTCACACTGCAGTCACCGACCCATTGACCCCAAGGGGAATCTGAAAAGCAACAAAGAGATAGGAGTTAGCCAGCAATCAGTCATCTTCATTTCACCCTACAAACTTCATTTTTGCATTAAGCAACAAACACTATGGTTGCCATCGTAGGAACACTTGCTAGAATACAAATCACACTTGTCGATTTTCTTAAACATAATTTTGTGGTCAGGCCAGATGACTTGGTTGTTGTGTGGAGTTGTATTGCAACGGCTCATAATTTCAACGACCATTACCATTCTTGCCAAGAAAATACCTGGAATATTGCTACTGCGGCTTATAACAATAAACATTATTCTATATTTTTTAACTTTTTTGTTTTTATTCATTTTTAAAGCCGCGTGTTGTTGTTTTTTAAGAATAAAGTAGTTTTTTGTAACTGCTTCAAGACATACAATTTTAATTTCTCTCAAAAAAAGAAGCTCAAAAATATATTTTGCAACTACAATACATTTTGTTTCAGGTCATCAATCCATCTCCAGAGGGAAAGGAGGTTAAAGTCCCATTTTTCACCCTTGCCGAACTTGTAGCTCGATTGTATCACCACCAGTTGCTATTACGCGTAATGTACCTTCTATGTCCCTCCTATTTACAAATTCGATTCCACCTCTCATATCACTTACATTTGATCACAAAACGGTGGCGCCCACTCTACACGTTCTGAACAAGTTAATCGAAGAAAAGTTTTACATTCCGTCACATACGTAACACTTAGCAAAATAATTAACGATAGTAGCACAACACAGCAAGTCGATTACAAATATGAAAGGGTTTGGAAAATAGCTGTCGGCGACCAGAAGACGTAACACGCTTTTTGCATATACTGCAATCGACCCAATTCTGCTTGGCAGTCGCCATGATATTTTTGAACCGGATGTCGATTTACTTACGCGAGTCTTTATTGTACTCTGAATAGAATAGTTAGAATAAAATATAATTCCAGTCTAGTTCGACAAGAGTGGAAACTGAACTTTTACAGTCAGTTAAATGACTGGCCTCGGGAAGATAGACATCCATCAAATCCATTGAACAAATATTTGGGGGGAATAATAATGGAAACAAATTTGTTTTGGGGCATATGTTTCTCAACAGTGAGGAGACAGGTGGACTATTTTATTGAAAACAAACGCGATGAGGGACGAACACGGTTAGTATTTTTCCCCACAAAAAACGACCTAAAGATCAAAATGGGCACACACTGAACTCGGCTCCTAAATACAAAGTCAGTTGTCAAGCATGGATAAGCGAGTGTGCCTGCGACTTCGTATATGTGAGTGAGTGAGTGAGTGAGTGAGTGAGTGAGTGAGTATGGTTTTACGCCGCTTTTAGCAATATTCAAGCAATATCGCGGCGGGGGACACCAGAAATGGGCTTCACACATTGTACCCATGTCGGGAATCGAACCCGGGTCTTCGGCGTGACGAGCGAACGCTTTAAACACCAGGCTACCCGACCGCCCCCTTCGTATATGTGTGGCCACTGGTGAGTTAGGATACGCTCAATGTTTTGCAAAAACACCTGTCGTCATCACTATTTGACAATGATTCACAATCACGTGCTTATGATTCAGTCGCATTCGTGCAACTGATTCTTCTTTAAGAAGAGAATTCTTTATGGAAATTGTTTTGACTACGATTGGTCAATTTCAGTATTTGCTTTTTTCTGATGTTCGTAAAGTGAGAATATGAGTGAGTGAGCTGACTTTAACGCCGCTTTTAACAGTATTCCAGTCATATCACGGCGTGTCAGCTTAATGTGGGAGGAAAGCCCGAAATGATGCAGGTCTCAGACGTTTACCACTTCGGTGAAACCCACGAGCACGGGTATGGTGCTGACAAACCTAGAAACATAATCGGGGCGAAGCGGAAGTCGAACCCACAATCATAGGTTTCTGGTGTGCCCAAGGGACGCAACTCTGCACAGCGAATCGCGGCGCCTTAGACGACTGGGCCACCCGTGGCCCCGTTAGGATATGAAATGAAGGAGTCGAAATGAATATTATACACTACATTTTGTAGCTGAACGTTTTGGTTTGCTAGTTGTCAGTATGTCCGTGCATACTTTGTGACATCTAACAATCAACCATGTGCCTAGATAAAACATGCTATTTTCCTGACACGAATTTCATCAAAAAGTGAAATTGTTAATGGATTAACAGATTCTGGGAAACAATTCAACAATATGTGATCTTACATGTATTTTTCATCGTGGGATTCTGGTTTAGAATTAGTTCTAGCAACCTATGACGACTATGATAATAGATCTAGTTCTCAGGTTCGGTGACTTCGTTGATTTTCCGCCGCTGTATCCCGGCGGTGTTGCTCATAATATCAATCACTGGCTTATGTGGGCCGGACTCGGTTATTCTCGCAGGCAGTTGGGGCTATTGTCGGCACAAGTACAACAAAAATGTACCCAGGGTATCTTTTTGTATACACAGGTGTACCATATGGTGATACTACTAACGGTTCTGGAGTCAGGTTTGTAGAGTATCAAGGTAAATAGCACACTTACAAAAATCATTATCCGCGATGATTGCAGAAGTACTAGTTACGGCACCAATGGAATCACCACTAAGAATGATACGGAACTGTTCGGCGTCTTCCGGTTCCTGCAAATAGAAAAAAGACGAACATATATATGACGCGGCAGATTCGCAAGTGAGATGTTTTGATAAATTTACGAGATTTGCTTGCACTTTTGTTATATGAAGGTGGACTGAAAATATATTATTATGATTTGGACAATATATTTCATCATAACACTGGGTCAAAAGGATTTCAATATTTATACTATCTAGCAACAGAATGTATAAGCTGTATGTCACTTCTATTTGTAACTACACATATGCCAAATTCATCACATTTGAACAAAAAATGGCGGGGAAAAAGCATGTGGAATTTTCGTCGGAATCGTACATCTGCTTTAAGTCGAGATTTATGAATAAGGTTTTGTATTTTGCCGCTTTTATTTATTAAGAATATAAGCCCTTAAGTCTTTACATCGTCGTCATTTATTTGAACTTCGACAGTCGCCATTGTCTGTCCATTCAGAAAAGTGACATTTCCCTCTCTTGCTGCCACTATGTCATTAGGTTGTATTGTTTCGTCGATGAGTTCGTAATTGACAGTACAATTTCCCTCTGTGCCTAGTTTTCGTTCGAGATTGAACACGATTGGACCCGCGTCTTCGTTAGTGTTGCCTGTTGATAGGACGACGCATACTGTGCCACCTGCAGGGATAACATAAAGATTCAGTACTGTCTCACACATTTCTTTTTAATTTTTGAATGAATAAAAACATATTCAGGTCGTGTGTAAAACGTTGTGAAAAAGATACAACATTCTCATTTTCAATCGCAGACAACTTTTTCATTTCAGAAAAAGATCGGACGCAGAGAAAATAAAACCTTCAAATACTATGTTGATTGATCATTTAGAAAGGTTAATCTTTAAAGTAACCTTAAAATAAATGAATAATATCAATTCAAGCAACTATCTTAAGCTCCAATCCACACTTGAAAAAAATAACTGTTCTTTATGTAAAGATCAATAAAGATAAATGTATTGTGAAATTAAATAATGCATCTTTAAAAACTTTTTCATGAAGACATCTCGACTTTAAGGTTGTGATTCACAATTTGCACGTGCAGCACGGCACACAATTTGGATCTGAGCATGTTTGAACATACACGTGGTTTTGTTTGCTGTTTGTTATTTAACACCACACGCAGCTATTTTCCAGCTACGACGGCGGTCTGTAAAAAATAGCAAACAAACACACCTTAATCGAGTCTGGACCAGACAATCCAGTAATAAACATCATGATCATCGATCTACGCAATTTGGACTCGATGACATGGATGAACAAAGCCTGACCACCCGATCCCGCTAGTTGCCTCTTACGATTGCTGAAGACCTATTCTAGCCTGGTTCTTTACGGGTATGCTACCTTGTGGGACACCCTGATCTTGTTTGTAAAAATCAGACAAGGTCCCCCCTACACATACCTGGAGGGGCCTATCTGTTTAAAAAGTGTTAAAATGGTTAATGGTACTTCTACTTTTTGTAAGATCACAATCAACATAAAAAGGTGTCTCTAAACAGGAATCAGGTAACTGTTTAGGTAATGGATATTATAAGCACCTGTATCGGTGTCATGAGCTTGTCTGAATGTGATATTTAACTCATGAAACGAAAAGATTTCATTGTAATCCTGACCATTATCAGCAATACAATTTATTTTCCGTCCATCTTGTCCTTTTAAGTTCTTAAATGTCGGCACATAATTTGATGAGGATAAATGTTTTACTTTAGTATCTCCTAGTTTATTTGCTGTATCACATTTATCGGTTAGTAGTGTGTCACTCTCTGAACAATAGGTTTGAAACCGTTTATCCTTTGGGCCACATTCCAAACCTTGGATATTGGTGTTCGCGAATTTATTTTAGAAACATAGGTTCCCCAAGATTGTCGTTTATATTTGTTTAAATGTACGACGAGCTTTTGCAATTAAAATATTAAATTCATTATAGTGGTAGCACAGATATTTTTCCTAGTTTGTTTACAATCGGTACTAAACCAGGGTTTACGTGTATGTTGATTTGCAGAGGACTTTGGTATACAGTCATCATTTCATTTTAAACGACAGTACAAACTGATTATGTCCAGCATAATTACTGAAACCATTCGTCACCACTCGCTCCTTTCCGTAACCTGCAAGAAGACTCGTCCCCAATTCGTCACCACTCGCCCCTTTCCGTAACTTGCAGGAAGACTCGTAATAAATTTTGATTTTACATACGTCTTACATAAAAAAATATACCCAAGAAACAGTTAAATGTGTTCAATCATACTGTGTAATTCCCCACGTGTCCCGATGTGCTTTAAATTGCATCTGAAATATATATAATATATGGGAGAATAAATGTGAAACATTACGCAACGAGTTTACAATTGTTTTAGGTATGCCCGTTTGCGCTAAGACGAAACCCGGTCGCAAAAATGGCCATGATAGGGGCTCGAGCCGCTATTCGGCTTGTCCCGGAATAACACGAGTTGGTCACGAATGTACTGAAACACTCGGGTTTTACCATTGATAACTGATCATAGAGAGCTTGAAGCTCAGACAGCTGACGACCTGACGAAGGCGAAATATGCAGAGGGCACAATAAAAGGCAACGCACTACAACGTCGTACCACAACGGCTTAAAGATTGTTATCTTTTTAGTTTGACAGGGTTGTGTATAGCATCCTGCCAATGATTGAAGATCCTCCAGTGACCCTATGACAGGGAGGAGAAAAATAATGATATGCACTGAACTGACGTAGGACATACAGGATGTCCAGGATCCAAACTTATGAAATAATTTGATTTGATTGTCTGACCCCAATTGATTCAATGTTTGATTGCGTCATGTAAGCAATGAGTCATGATCAATAAGGCAACATTGAACACAACTATGTTTGATCATTATACACACCAATCATAAATAAAATGTTATGATCGGTCGGCAGAAGAAAGGTCAGGTTTGAAAAATGACAGCTACCAAACCAAAACCGAAACGCCCCAACACACCCGAAACATTGCACATTGACCATGCAATTCCTCCGGGGCCTAGGGTCATTACTCATTTTGACATTCCAGTGATACCCGTGAAGAATCCGGGGTAGAATAGGTCTTCAGCAACCCATGCCTGGCGTAAAAGGTGACTCTGTTTGTCGTAAAAGGCGACCAACGGGATCGGGTGGTCAGGCTCGCTGACTTGGTCGATACATGAAGACCTATTCTATCCCGGAATCTTCACGGGTCCCGCCGCCATGTAGCTGGAATATTGCTCTTTGAATTTCTGTAATCATCTGTCATTTTCGCTTACTTGTTTTAGAAGGTATACCAGTAATTACACAGTGGAGAGACTACACGTATTTAAACGGAAAAGAGAGGAACTTATGTCCTTATATAGACTAAGTTATCCTGACAATAGATTATGCTATATCTTCGATATAAATACACAATGCCATTTAGAAAGTGTTCAAATGTAACACATGTTATATTTGGGATAACACTTTCTTAGTAAAGTACAGATTCTAGTACTTTTTTGAGTTGAGTCCCGTCCGGGATTCGAACCCACACTTGCCAGAGTGAGGCACCTAATCGCCAGCACACAAAGTCAGCAATCTAACCCACTCAGCCACCGAGGCTTCCACAAAATGAAAGTCCGACAACTGGTAGTCTAGATCACATACTTTGTGTACCCCTCTGACAAGTGTAAATTGGCACGGCTCCCATGGCCGAAAGCTATGAATACACAATGCCATTTAGAAAGTGTTCAAATGTAACACATGTTATATTTGGGATAACACTTTCTTAGTAAAGTACAGATTCTAGTACTTTTTTGAGTTGAGTCCCGTCCGGGATTCGAACCCACACTTGCCAGAGTGAGGCACCTAATCGCCAGCACACAAAGTCAGCAATCTAACCCACTCAGCCACCGAGGCTTCCACAAAATGAAAGTCCGACAATGGTAGTCTAGATCACATACTTTGTGTACCCCTCTGACAAGTGTAAATTGGCACGGCTCCCATGGCCGGAAGCTATGAATACACAATGCCATTTAGAAAGTGTTCAAATGTAACACATGTTATATTTGGGATAACACTTTCTTAGTAAAGTACAGATTCTAGTACTTTTTTGATTAGGTGCCTCAATCTGGCATAGTAACTTTTTCCTGCAAGCATGGGTTGCTGAAGACCTATTCTACCCCGGATCTTAACGGGCCTCCAGCATGTTGTTATCTCGACACATGGTGGCCCAGGGATAGTTGTGATGACGTTCTGCTAAGGAACAAATTTACCTGTCGAGCAAGGGGACATGACATCCTGGATTCGATCGTTGTACCGAATCCGTTAGAACATGTCTACATGTCAATATGTCAAGCCTGCAGTATTGATCCATGCAATTGGGATCGATGACATGCATCAACCAAGTCAGCGAGCCTGACGACCCAATCCCGTTAGTCGCCTCTTACGACAAGCATAGTAACCTTTTCCTGCAAGCATGGGTTGCTGAAGACTTAATCTACCCCGGATCTTCACGGGCCTCCAGCACGTAGTCGACATGTCAAGCTTGCAGTCATGAGACAGGCAACCTCACAAAAGGGACTGCGGGGCGTGTAAGCCGTGTCACGAAATGGGATTTTCCGTGTGGTGTAGTGTGGCGTGGCGTGGCGTGGCGTGGCGTGGCGTAGCGTGGTGCGTAGTGTAGTGTGGAGTAGTGTAGCGAAGCGTACTGTAGTGAGGCGTAGCTTACGTTGTGCTTCTGTCTGATGCACGCAGCAAATTAGAAATAACGCAAAGACTAACAGGAGAGTTGAAGAGGACATCTCTGAAAAATAAAAAGAAATTATCCTCGATTACATTTATGACATGTTTTCAATATATCTCTTATATACAGGCACAAATATCCGTTTCATAACACCTAAAAGGCTTACAGCTTTTTCCCCAATTCCGAAAATACCAAAAAGTTCACAGGTTCATAGACTGTCCTTGCTCTCTTGTATGGTAATCAACAGTGCATCAGTTGTATCCTTGCCAATCAATATCATCCTATTGTTAGGTAATTTTACAGATGTCGAGTGATAATACAATAACATGAACATAACAGCAACCCATGCTTGCCGTAAAAGGCGACTGTGCGTGTCGTAAGAGGCGACTAAAGGGATCGGGTGGTCAGGCTCGCTGACTTGGTTGATGTCAATTTGGTAGCAAAATCATCATCATCCATGTTCTTTTTTGGACAAATACTCCTGGGCCATAGTCTGTAATATTATTGTAGGCCTTCAGCAACCCATGCTTGCCGTAGCAGGTGACTATGTCTTTTGTAAGAGGCGACTAACAGGATCTGGTGGTCAGGCTCGCTGACCTGGTTGATGCATGTCATTGATCGCAATTGCGTGGATAGATGTTCATGTGGTCAATCGCTGGACTGACTGTCAAACTCGATTATTTACAGACCGCCGTCACGTAGGTGGAATATTGCTGAGTGCGGCGTTAAACAACAAACCAACCATCAGATTATCAAAAGTTTCAGATTATTGCCACGGCGTTTTAAATAGTATTCAACAGTAACAGATGCATGTACCTATACTGCAGCATTAAAGTTTACAGGGTGAAAAGATATTTCATAGATAATCCAACTATTGAAACTGTAAACTACATCATAGGTGAGGTGAGGTGAAATTGGGTTTAACGTCGCGTCCAAGATTATTGTACTTATACAGCAACGTGCATGTACGTGTGTGTGTTTGTGTGGCTGCCTGTACTAGTCCGGACTGATGCCGATTTATAGTGCTAGCTCACATACTGCAGTTTAACATGAATACCCCACTCAGACACAGTATACTGACTCCGAGCCGACCAGTCCTTGTTTTAGCCCCTTAATGCTGAGCGCCAGACAGGGCAACAACAAGTACCATCATTTAACGTCTTTTGGTAAACTACATCATAAAATGAATAGGTGTTGTGTACTCCCCGCACCCCAAAGAAAAACATTGCACCAATATGTACCACCACTTTCACGTATGACGTCGACATCACGACAGGTAGCCTATTTTCACAATATATCAGTGGTGGGATGTGTATTTTTGTGCCCACACATCTCCCATTTTGTACGACTTATTTTGGCATATGGAGTCATTATTAGCACCTTCATTTACTCTATTTTTACCAAATGCCTCATTCTGACAAGAGCAAAAGCAAATCATATTATGTGATTATACATATTTTGAGTATGTGCATCTACCTTTTTTGTTGGCACGATGCAAAACGAGCAGCTGTATTGAGAAAGAGTCGTAATAAATATTGCCTTTTGGCATACCAGCCTTGTCTCATTTGTTGTAAATATAACCAAGTTCATAACATGCCTCTCACTTCCATGCATGCCTTGCAGAAGCTCCGTGTAGTATATTCAAGCTACATTTTCTCCCGTTTCATTTGCCAAGCATTATAGTTTTATACCTTGCCCCAGTAGCATCATAAGTATGCATTTCTCAGGCATAACATATCGTGGGGAACTTTTGATGCTCTGCATCAACGTTTTTTGTCTGTATGTTATGGCCGGATCGGATGGTCAGGCTCGCTGACTTGGTTGATGCATGTCATAGTTTCCCAATTGCGTAGATCGATGCTCATGATGTCAATCGCTGAACTGTCTGTTCCAGTCTCGATTATGGTGTGTTTGTTTGCTGTTCAAAGCTGCAACCAGCATTAGTTATGCTATATGGCAGTCTTAAAAAGATCGAATCTAAACAAGACAATTCAGTGATCTGTATCATTATTTTGGAGTGAGTGAGTATGATTATACGCCGCTCATAGCAATACTCCAGCAATATCACGGCGGGGGACACCAGAAATGGGCTTGACACAATGTACCAATGTCGGGAATCGAACCCGGGTCTTCGGCATGACAGGTGAACGCTTTAACCACAAGGCTACCCGACCGCCCTCATTATTTTGGAAGCAATCAACCAAGACACCGAGTCTGAGGACCCGACCCTACAGTCGCCACTTGTGACAGATATGAAATCTGTGCTTGTTCCTTTTCATTGAAGTATTACTGAATCACATATTGTTGACATATTCTTTATGATGCTCTTTTAAACTAGACCTGCCCTATACAATATAAGAAACAGTGTTAATGCATTCATTGACTTATTACTGCTTAAAAAATCTACAGTGATATCTCTAAGCTGATAAACGAAAATACCTGATAAAACACAAAACCTGTACGTTATAGAATTATGACAAAAAGATGCAATGATAAAGTAGGATGTTCTTTATCCAAATATTTGCAATGTTTTCGGCGACTTCTGGAAGTGGACAAACAAGCCTTTAGGTAAAATAGGTGGCTTTGAGGATGTTCCAGAATTTTTTTGCTACCAAATTAAAAGGAAACGGCTTAATTATCTATTATGAACATCTGCACTTGTTAGTTATTGATTGATCCGCGAAGTCACGGTTTATCAAAATGTTAATTTTGCTGTATTATTTTGAAATCCATCTGTACGCAACAGAACGAAGAGCGAAGATTTTCGGGATATTTTCAGAAATTCGGATAACGAGGGGGGTGAGCGAAACACCATGGCTACAGAATTTTGTCGACTAATCTAGGCGTAGATACTTTTGTGAAAATTTGAGTGAGAATGGTGCCTTCTGATTTTTTTTCAGCATTATATTAAGTGTTTGATTTACTTTCCCTGAACAGGTATGCGGCTCAATTAAGACACTGGCTTTCATTTCTATCTTGTTTGTGATGGGTTAGTAAAAGAAGTCATCTTATGAATCCTACTGGTCAAGTGACCCACTACCATGACTGGTTCAAAGCTATCATGTCCGGGGACGGGTTGATTTAGATACGAATGCGTTTTTTTCATTAAAATGACAAGGCCTAAGACTTCCCTCAAGGCATTGTAAATTATACAAATAAGACCCCAATGACAAATCTTTTTTCAGGATGGGAAGAGGCACTGTACCCAAACAGGGACGTATCTGTTGACGAGAGTATGATTCCATACAAAGGACGAACAGGGTTCCTACAATATATGCCAAATAAACCACATAAGGGGGCGACCAAGTCACTGGAATTGGCACGACTGGGTACAAGTGGAACTGGCAAGTCATTGTTGTGCCAACAACTGTATCGGAAGGTTCATCATGTGTACGTGGACATCTTTCCCAGGTATTATCTGACAACCAGACTGGTGGAACACCGAGAGCCTGCTGACTGCAGCCTGTCAAGGATGCCCTACCCAAGGCTGGTGATAGAAGGTGATAAAAGACGAGTAAATCTTGAGATCAGTTATTCACAGTGCTTCTTGGTGTTTTTAAAAGAGAAAGATCTCTAGGTCTTCGCCAAACTGCTTCAGGGAGGAAAATATATGCGACAAAAGCCTTTCCATCACAGAGCCAAAAGCGGTCAGTTTGTACAATCAGCACATGGCAGACGTGGACAGGGCAGACAAGCAGTTGCAGTAGCACATGGTGCTCCACAGGTATTTTAAGTGGTGGTGAAAAGAATTGTTGTACCTCTCGAAACTTTGTGTCAATAATGCGCTGGTTATCTCGGCAAACCAAGGTAAGAGGGTCAAAGTCACGGAGGGATATGAGTGACTCGGCAGAGTAAGACTTGGACATCCTGCAGCCAACCTGGACTCCCAGCTCCGCCATTACTCTGACAAGACCCAGGAATAAGTCCCAAAACGTACGATGCCTTGCAATGGTTGTGTAGTTGGTTCAAACAGAACCGCGAGAAGGCATCAGGCCACCTTACATGTGCCCTCTTCCATGTTTTGAACGAGACCATGTATTGGTAAATTAAAGAAATACTTCCCACCTTGACTGTCATGATCAAAAGCCGATATATCGTGTTTAAGTCCTATCCATTATGTTACTGTTAAGGTTTACTGTTGATAATTTTATTGTTATTGTTCGAGTGTACAGTGCAACTATTGTATTTTGCATTTCTCATGAACCGACAAGTCCGCCACCGTGGTAGAGCGTCCGCCCGGAGAGCGGAAGGTCCGGGGTTCGATCCCCGGCCGCGTCATACCAAAAGACTTGTTGTTACCCTGTCTGGCGCTCGGCATTAAGGGGCTAAAACAAGGACTGGTCGGCTCGGAGTCAGTAATACTGTGTCTGAGTAGGGTATTCATGTTAAACTGCGGCATGGTATCTCAGTGAGCTAGCACTATAAATCGGCATCAGTCCGGACTAGTACAAGCAGCCACACAAACACACACATGTACATGCACGTCGCTATATAAGTACAATAATCTTGGACGCGACGTTAAACCCAATTTCACTTCACCTCACCTCACATGAACCGACGAGTTAGAATAAACTTAAGAGTGCGGCGTTAAACAAGAAACAAACAAACAAATAGAATATACCTAATATTCTCATTTCAGCACTTGACATGACGGAACTAACGTTTGTGTCTATTATTTTCAATAAATTATTCATTATTCACCCTCGCATTGTTGTCTGTCAATAACGATTTAGACATATAACTGGTATGAAACGCCTTCCACTTTCAATCACGTAATTCAGGTAAGTTGAATTTTTTTTTACAAATTGTATTGTCGGTTTGGCTTCAACCCGTGTAGGTTTAAAAATATCAGGATAAATATTTTATAATAATGTGAAACTTTCTACCACGTATGTATGGTATGTGATACATATTGGTTCAGTTGTCCCATGTTTGATGAAGACTCAAATCCACACTCGAGCATCCACTCTCTTTACAGCACCTTATGTTCAAATTAACCCAGTAGGCCGGGTGTAGGAAGTGTGAATACAATTCAGCAGGCTAAAGTTTAAGATTCGATCTTCCTCGAGTCAAGTCAAGTCAAAGAAGTTTATGTACTAAAGGCCACCGGTCCATATACAAGAAAGAGTTACGCATGTAGATACAATCATATATGTTACACATTGGGATATACACGTTGTTTGATTAATTCATTTCTTTTGGCTAATGCATGCTTAATATAAAGAGAAAGATTTAATATATTTGATTCGTTCTTTGTCGTCAGCATAACTACAAAGGCGTTTATCGGTGACATTGCTATTAAACAATCTTTTATATATTTCTTTCGGAGATAATTGTAAAATGGACAGACAAACACAAAATGAATTTCATTTTCTATCTCTAGATAACACAATGGACAAATTCTTTTCATTTTTTCAATGGACAGTTTTCTTCCTTCATTTACAAATAGTTCTAGCAAACCAAGTCGATATTTAATTATCTGTTTTCTTAAGTTTTCCGTAGTGAGTACTGATAAATATATTTCTGGTTGAAGTAAAGTCTTGAAAGTTTTGTAATATTCATAACGTGAACTATCCTCTAAAGTGGAGTGCCATTCTTGGTAGAACATATTTATAGACCGATTCCGAAATTCATTAAGAAACATATTTACATTTCCAACTGACTGACATATGCATATAAAACCAAAACCATGCAAAAATAAAAGATTAAATAAAAGTGTTAAATGAATGAGTATGGTTTTACGCCTCTTTTCGCAATGTCCAACAATTCCCCCTCAGTGGATGCCGAACTTGGCTTCACATGTTGTATATATGTAGGGAATCACACTGGGCTTATGACCAAAGTTTCAAAAGTCCCCGCCCTGCATCGCTGACACTATGAGCCATGATATAACAGAAATACTGTTAAAAGTGGCATAACAGGCAACTTACACACAGAACCATTGATGTCAATCTCAATGAGAAAGCTTACCTGCTCTGAAGAGTCACCTTGCAGTCCAACGCTTCTGGATATGTCTTCAGAAGAGGACCATCTTTATAGCAAATGTCGTTACGCTTGGATGGGTAAGGGCGGGTAGGCAATGCAGCTGTCTATTGATCACATTAATGCGGTTAAGCTTCGTGAGGGTGTGTCCAATAATATCTTAATCCAATTGCGTAATAACAACTAAGCTGGTTTGTGGACGTGAAAGTTTGCCATGATCCCACCTTCACTTAAATTGCAAAACTTGGTACAGAGAGTGGACTGGCTCACCTCAGAGAAACTCACCCCAAACACGTGCTGAAACTAAGGGTAAGAATTGTCACGAGTTATATATGGACACGAACCTGTGGAAAATCTAGACTTGTTTAATTTACGTTCATGGCATTTCTGTATGAGGTAGGCAGGAAACTCAAACAGCAAAGCTACCCTAAAGGCTCACGATACCCCTGCAAAAGGATTTGGTTTGGTTTGTTGTTTTACGCCGCACTCAGCAATATTCCAGCTATATGACGGCGGTCTGTAAATAATCGAGTATCGACCAGACAATCCAGTGATTAATATCATGAGCATCGATCCATGCAATTGGGTTCGATGAAATGGATCAACCAAGTCAGCGAGCCTGACCACCCGATCCCGTTAGTCGCCTTTTACAACAAGCATAGTCGCCTTTTACGGCAAGCATGGGTTGCTGAAGAACTATTCTACCCCGGAATCTTCACGGATCAACGCAATTGGGATCGATGACATGCATCAACCAAGTCAGCGAGCCTGACCACCCGATCCCGTTAGTCGCCTTTTACGACAAGCATAGTCGCCTTTTACGGCAAGCATGGGTTGCTGAAGACCTATTCTACCCGGGATCTTCACGGGTTCCTGCATAAGGAGAAATTCCACGTTACAGTAATAGTTCAGTCAGTGGATTATTTCCTGTAAGAGTGGCATGGACCAATAGCAAGTCTAATACAATAAGTGAGTTTGATTTTACGCCGCTTTTTACACCAGAAATGAGCTTCACACATTATACTTATGTCGGGAATAGGCGTGGCGAGGGAACGCTTTAACCACGAGGCTACCCGACCGCCCCCTTATACAATGGAATTACAGGGTTCTACAGAACAATGTTAACAAATTACAATTTACTAATTCAAAGAACTTCTCCCCTGAAGATGATAAAGGTACTTGTGGATCTTTATCTTGATTGGGCAAGTCATCATTCACAAACTTCTTTCCCTCAATACAAATCTTTAAGCTGTTGCAGTCCGTCTGACCCTAAATATTGTTAAGTCTTTTATTGTTGACAGAATCCTTCTATCCATGTTAAGCTTCAAACACCAACAGAAACGGGAAAGTACTTACGATTTTATCTTGTTTGTTTGCTTGTTTGTTGTTTAACGCCGTACTCAACAATATTCCAGCTATATGACGGCGGTCTGTAAATAATAGTCTGGACCAGACAATCCAGTGATTGACATCATGAGCATCGATCCACGCAATTGGGATCCATGACATGCATCAACCAAGTCAGCGAGCCTGACAACCCGATCCCGTTAGTCGACTCTTACGACAAGCATAGTCCCCTTTTACGGCAAGCATGGACTGCTGAAGACCTATTTGCGAAAAGGTAAGCGTACCCTGCTCAATCGGTGACATCAGTCATAAACACATGCAAAGGCAAGTAAATTATTCACATGACAAAAACTCGGGAACACATGTCAAAATAGGGGATTGCATCGGACATCATTTTTGTCACTGATTAGGAAATATATATCTACCATAAAACCTTTTGAAAGCTTTCCTGTGACCTTGAATGTTGTAAACCTGATCAACCAACATTTGAGCAAGAGTCGTGTGACGCTTTTTGAAATCTTTACAGAAAGAGCATGCTAGATTGTGATTTAAAAGTTGTGAAGAGATAGACACCAAAGGCTGCACCTGCTGGGAGTTCTGATAAATAATAGTGTTTTAGAAAGGTTGGAAGGTATCGAATTGTGACAACTGATTAGCAATGGACAATGTGTAGAAGTACAAATATTTAGGTATGTATTTTCCTCCCGAACTGTACTCTCTGGAGCCTGAGACACTTCTGTGCAAGCTCAAAATGTCAAACAATTTCTTAGTAAATTAAATTTAAAGAATTGCCGATTGGATCGGTTGGATTTTAATTATTTGAACAACCGATATTGTTTTATGGTGCAGAACTGTGAGCCATGAATAAATTGATAATGTAATTATTACACGCACATTTTCGTTAAATGCAGGTTACAAATGTGGCCGTTTCCATTATTAGTAATTGGTCGCAGTAGAGTTTCTGGATAACATTTGCCAGACAGCCATAAACAAGATACTCTGGAAGGTGAAAAGATTTATTGAGATAATTACGGGGAAGCAATCAATTATTTCAAAACGGTTTTGGGCACGTAAACGAGAATCAAAATATGTACATTATTCTGTGTCAAATGTATTATTGAAGCTGAGACACATCGTATGTCAATCTTAACATTAGAGGAGCAAGATTTTCTGAGACCCTTGATATAAAAAATACAGCCTGTTTTTTTTATATATTGTGAACATAATGAAGATCAATACCATCTATGCTATATGTCTTGAATGTATTAAAGAAATGATTTTTTGCCTCAATACCTTGTCAGTATAACATTTCGTGAAACGTTTAATATTCTACATACTAAACAGATGCTGTGGATATGTCGTTTAAGCTCTGGTGTGCCATATACAAGTATCTAATATGAGGGCTTAGAAGCTCTTATAAAACTGGAATGAAGTACTTTACTGTAAACTCGTCTCATAAAGTGTAAAGTAACGATGCAAGCGATTTCTTTAACTGTCTTGTTGGGTTACCACAAGGATGTATCTTGAGCCCGATACTGTTCTCAATTTTTATTTGTGAATTGTATTATGAAACTATATCTGACGGTAAACATGGTATTCAAATGTTCCCAAATGTAATAGAAAATTTGATGCATCTTTTTGCCCATGGTGTCATTTTAGTATCAGATTTTGTTGTTGGACTACAGAAACAACTTAACGTTTTAGATTGTTCAACCAAAGAGTGGAAATGAAATGAAAGATGTTTTTTCGATGGTAAATGTGTTAATGATCTGTGTCATTATACATTTCTTGAAAAGTGTTTCGGACCTAATATGACGTGCAAAGAAAGCCTTCATTAATTATATGTCTGTTTTGCAGAAAGTGGAAGCTTTTGCATTGAATATATTTGTTTAATTACTTGATGCCCAAATCCAACGCATCCTGTTAAATGGATCAGAAGTATGGGGATTTCAGCGATACGATTGTCTCGAAAAACTACATCTTTTAGCCTGAAGAAAATTCTTTTCCGTTCGCCCATCAACACCCGATTGTATGGTCTATGGCGAGTGGGCAAAGTTACAATTGCATCACATATAAGAAACCTTTTGTTTACTCATTTGCTGATGTTAAACTCTTTGTGAAACAATTTCGTGAACAATCTAGAAAACAGCTTTTACCAAGAATGGAATGCTTCTCAAGAAAACAGATCAATGTATGACTTGTATAGAACGTTTAAGAGCCTTATTCAAACAGAAACAAACTTATCTATATTATCTCATGATAAATGCAGGAAGAAAAATGTCCACCGAAAAATCAAAGAGGTTATGCCAATTATGTCATTAAGTTATAGAAAATTAAAATCACTTTACTTTTGTATGTCCTTATTATTGTGATCAAAGAGACAAGTTTATACCAGAACCAGATGATGTTGTCTTGTCAAAACTGGCTATATATGTTAAAAATACAATTTCTCTCAGAAACGAATTGTTAAACATAAGTATATATGCGAAAATGTAAAACAACTTATATGTATAACTTCTTTAAGTGGCATTTAGAAGTTGGTGTGATGAAGTAAGACAAGTTCTATGGATGAACAACTTCTTTATTACAATAAGTGCGACGTTTCGGTGTAGATCCTAACACCTTTATCAAGCAAGTGATGATGATAGCTGAGATTGCCACGTCTCCATGTAGACGACGTATAACTTCTTTAAGTGGCATTTAGAAGTTGGTGTGATGAAGTAAGACAAGTTCTATGGATGAACAACTTCTTTATTACTTGCATGATAAAGGTGTTAGGATCCACATTGAAACGTCGCATTAATTGTAATAAAGAATTTGTCTCGCTTCAACTTATATGTAACTCCTTTGTTTAGGGGCCGGGGGCAAATGCAATAAATATTTTTTACTCCTGACACTTTGACTACAGTATTTTTTCAATGTAAAGCTTGCGCTACAACTGTATTCACTAGTGTTGTGTAGATGTTTGTATTGGTTTGTTGTTTAACGCCGCTCTCAGCAATATTCCAGCTATATGACGGCGGTCTGTACACAAGAGGCCTATAGGCCTGTATCGCTCACCTGGATACTTACGCAATCATGACAAAATATACATTTGTATGTACATGTATATAATACTGCAAATATTTCGTAATTTTGACTGTCAGCAGTTAAAATAGGTTGATGGCAAATCTGACAGCATGAACGTGTACTTCTCTACATACAAATGTAGCATAAAGATCTGAACCGTTTCCATGTTATAATCAAGGATAAATCATATGAAAGGTATTACTCTCTTCATAACAAACAAATGTAAACAATGTATCTGTTTATTTTAGGGTGGGGATTATATCGGTTTCCATGTTATGGTCAAGGTTCAAACACCTTTGGGAGTGCCGGACAGATGAACAGAAGGGCCAGTCCTGGTAGCATATGTGCATTCCTCTCATTGTAGTCTCAATTGTACATATGGTTATGGACCCGTGAAGATCCGGGGTAGAAGAGGTCTTCAGCAACCAATGCTTGCCATAAAAGGCGACCATGCTTGTCGTAAGAGGCGACTAACGGGATCGGGTGGTCAGGCTCGCTGACTTGGTTGATGCATGTCATCGTTTCCCAATTGCATGGCGTTAAAAAACCAACCAACCAACAAACCGTTGACCCGTGAAGATCCGGGGTAGAAGAGGTCTTCAGCAACTCATGCTTGCCGTAAAAAGCGACCATGCATGTCGTTAAAGGCGACTAACGGG